AATGATTGAGTGATGTGTAATGATATGGGCAAATTTAGCTTTAAATTAATAAAAGTTAGGGAAAATTTTGAAGAAATGTGTATGCTAATGTTTTAGGACGATTTCGAAGATTATTCAGATGATTTTGAAGAAGAAACCGACACTGATAATGATAAAAATAAAAGTTCAGATGAGGAGAATAATGCAAGAAAACAAAAAAAAGTATGGAAAATTCCGAAGTAACAGGAAATTCAACCATTTCACATATCGGAACATTCGATAAGGATACGTCAATTGATACAGTAAGCAATAAATCGTATGGCAATTCATTGCTGTTAAATCGTATGATAAATCGTCGACGAACTAATGACAATGCCCAATCTTTATAGGTATTTTTCTAAATTACACAGTTAATTTAGGCGATAATTAGCGTAATGATTGAAGCAATCATTGATTGGATAATTTTGCAACAGTTTATTGATAATTCAGAAATTAGTATTTAATCAGTTTGAAAACATTAAATTCTTCTTCATTCATTCCATCTTTTATAAAAAAATTGTACATTTACCTATGAAAAGGAATTTTGAACAGAATGGTTAGTAAATTACACATATTAATTAATTAATTTATTAAATAATTTTACAAAAATTGGTTGCATCATTTCGTTGATTAATTTATACGCTTGAATTCTATTTAAATAAATTCTTCAAAATTCATTTTCTTCATTTTGTATTAAAATTAAAAGTTTAAAAATTAGTGCAGTTAATATCCTGAAAGTATAAGATGAAAAAATATATAAGGCAATGAATGTATAAGATAATATATAAGCTAATAAAGCATAAAGTATAAACTTGAAATATAAAGTAATAAGGTATAGTTAAATAAAAGAAAAAAATACAAAAGTTTCAAATTTTCAGTCAATAAATATGATAATTTGCACATTTACAGGTACAATTTATGCATTCTTCTAATTCTATACAACGAAAAATTGATTTTACAAATGCGACAACAATAAATTGGGAAAAAATGTCCGAAGTAGAAAGACGATATAAAATGTTGAAACATTTAATTGGTATAATTTTAATGATAATTTATTCGATGATAAAATTTAATTTGACCAGAAAAAGAAAAGATGGAAAGAAAAAGTACAAAAAATTATTTCAAATATATTTTTTTTTTTTTTTTTTTAATTAGGAATGGGAATTGTACAATTTGATTTATTGGATCATCATCTAATTCATGCGAACAATTTTTATGCGCAAATGTTTGGTAACACGAATTACACTCAGGTATATATAACTCAAAAGTAAATAATTTTAATAAATGAAAAGGAGTAAAATTTCATATGCTCATGATTTATCAT